ATTTAATGGGAATACCTTTCATCACAAGCATTTCGAACAGAATGCATGGATCTACTGAGCCGAACGCACTCTTAAAGTCTAAAAACGCGGCTATTGTCGGCTTGCGGTATGTGTGGCGCTACTCTAGCACCAGCCGCAGGTTGAGTACATGGTCTGTACGGCTTCCTCCTGGGCGGAGACCTGCTTGTTCTTCCCTAATCCGAGACCTCCCTTCCGCTTTGAGAGGAGGAGCGATGATTGAGGCCAGTAATTTTGTCACTACCGGCGTTAAGCCAATACCCTGTGCTTAGCACAGTAAGTACGGCTGTTCTTCTTATATATTGCCATCATAATCGATTCACTCCAGTTAGCTGGGCTGACCTATTCTTTCTAGATGTGTTCGAATAGTGAGGTCAGTGCTTTGCAGTGGACCTCACCACCATCCTTAGCTAGTGCGCGTGCGAGTAAATCCGAGCCAGCCGCTGTAAAACGATTGATGGCTATGATCATGTTTCCGACTTCAGCCTCTAATAAAGCCGATAAACTAACGGTCCATGGCTCAGCCTACACCACCTGAGTAGGAAGTTGTCCGGGAGCAGGGGGCCAACTGCACTGCTCTCGAAAGTACTCCGCCCAATGGGTCATGCGGCGCTCTTTATTGTGAATCATGGCACCTGTGTTGTCTCTGATTGTTTCACTGTCGCCTGGTATTTTGGGAACGGTGGTGCAGATAAGTTGGATTAGCTTGCGATAATTGGCTACGGCTCTCGCCTCCTCCACTTCTTGAGCCCTACTAATCCACCCGGCTTCTTTGTCAGTACGAAGGCTCCACTTTAGTTCGCGTCTAGTTATATTGTGCTCAGAGCCAGTCGAGTCTTCTTTCGAACTCCAACAGGTTCACCGACCTCACGGATATCCAGTAATTGGTGCTGTGATAATTGATAGTGCCGCAAGCAGAAGCTCCATCGTCGTGCATACCGGTCGAGATCTTCTTCCACTGAAACCCAATGTCATCCGGACGAGAAGTCGCTACCGATGCACAGTGCATCTTGATAGGCTTGCCTGACAGAAGACTGATAACTACACAACTGCCAGTCGCGAGAATCGTCTCGTATGCCTCCCAGTAAAGTTCCTGGAAAAACGATAACCTACCAAAGCACGGTCTGAGTCGACACAAGTACTCCAGAACGAGCTGCATTCCAAGATGGAAACACGCCACCTGTAACTTACGGCAACGTGATCTGTCTATGTCTACCGCTGGCCAGCTATAGGGGTACAACAAATGGCACGTAGGCGCCCAACGTGTCTAAAGTTGGTGTTGTCTGTAAAAAGTCGGTCCTTCAGGGACAAAACGTATATTCTGCAAACAACGGACCAGGCGTAAACGCAGGCAGAGGGCGAGTGAAACATATCGGTACATACAGCTAGTTGGATCCATAATTAACGACCTTTGTGAATGCATGACATTTTTCCTTTGATTCAGTCAGACAAACTCACTCCAATGCGTCCAGCTGTTGGCCAATCAGCGTGCATGCGAGAAACGTGTGAACGTCCAATCAGCTGCCGCCTTTCCTTGCGGCAGCCTAACGGCTTCCTTGCTGGGCTGGCACCGCACGTTCGTTCGAGTGTATACTCCCATCACACTCCCCACACATCTGCAACACACACGCGCCGTTTTCTATCCGGTTGTAGTTAAATCCATACTTACCATCTAGTTGAGCCTCTGAAGAACCCAAGCTACCTAAATGTCCATTCATATCCCCTACAAGCACCATGATATCTGAAATGGTAGCACTGCGTAGAAGCGTGATCAGTTTGTGGTAGAGGGGTCCTTGGCAGCATCAGAACTGCAGTCGGGGTGTGGCATAAGTGTAAACCACATACAAACAGTGTATAGTGCTGCTTCGTGAATCATCCTTAGTTGATGTCGTCAAACAAACTGCACACAAACGGCTGCTCATAGGAATCCAATCAACCAACGATGACTCAGCCTTGGAGCCGAGAACGACGCCCATCTCGGCCTGACCAGTGATTACCGCATCAGCGTCTCGAAAACATGTAACCACTAGCGAAAGGTCAAGCCGGGCGTAGTTAATTCGACAATCCTGTTAGGGTCACTGATCCTAGTTTCAACACGTAACACACGACAATACCCAGTTTGCCCAACGTTCGTACGGGTGTGGTCTGTCGACCTGTTTGTCTTAGAGTGCGAACGTTGAACGCCGTCAGGGAAACGGGACATCGTGGCCTTATAAGGGGCTGTGACCGATAGGCGTCCAGTGGTCAGTGCGAGAAGATAGCTGCAGTTGGTTCCACTCTGGTGGTATTGTGGTTGCTGTCAATTAGGCTAGCAATTTGGCGAATGAAGGTCAATACTGGGGGTTGTGAGCGGAGTAAGAGATACTGATGGAACGGTAAGAAGAGAGGCGCCAGCAGTAGCACGTTTTAGCTTATCCGCCCTTCTGTTTGCAGCAGGTAAGGCGACCCTTGATAAGCCACGCGAGGGCCCATCAGGATGTCGCTGGCTAGCCGAACAACCTCCTCGTGGTGTCAGCTGGGTGGTTCGGATTTAGCCTGTTCCAGCAACTAGTTCGGTGGCAGTGTTCCAGGACGTGGTGGGTTTCGCCTGGCAAGCGTTCTCCCTATAAAAAGCCACAAATGTCTGCTTAACAACACTGTGACGTGGCGGTCGTGACTCGCCACAAAATAAAGTCACTGCCCCGTGGATATCCGGATAATTCTATCCAACCCACGGACACCAATCTCCTACTCGCATATTGATGACGATATCAAACATTGAAGATTGGAGCAGCACAACTACAAGAACAAAATACACAGTTACATACACATACACACACAATGACATACATAACCCCCTACAAAAACACAAACTGCTATGGCAAACATATCGGATTTTTGCACATTCTTGATCATGCATCGTTATGTCAAAATGATCATGCCGGTAAAGGCGTGCCTCACCTTGTTGAGAATAAAAGATTTATTTATTTAGTTGTACCGGGGCTGAAATACTATTAGGGCGCCCAGACCTAGACACAACGATTAGGGTTCTCAACCCTTAAAACTCTGTCCGCAAGGTAGAAAGAGGTAGTAATGCTTTGGTTTACAGAAATGGGCAGTATCGCATTTCCAACCACGAGACTGTTTGTCTGACATCTAGCAATTGATCTACGTGGTAGGAGTAGCTCTCAAGAGACTCGGGGGCACCACTAAGTGGAGCTCAATGGGTCGAAGGGGTACCTAAACCGTTGATCATGGGAATGATCAATGAGCTTTGAAAGCATTAGCTGCTTTGATTAACTGGGTTCATCGCAGCAGCTTACAAATCAGATAGTTCCGCAAGTGAATTGCTAATTCACGGGTGTAACAGATACTTGATTTCCTGATTCAATGATATAACTGCTACTATCTATTTATGAGTAGTACATGTTTTATTCACATTTGTAACCGCGACGATTGGACAAACTATTGATTACACTCAAGATCTATTAACTGCTGAACTGCCTATTGTACATTTCCTCTGAGTCTTTATTATGACTTTTCAATATCTACTGACAACGATGTGTAAAGCTCAGACATCCGGTCAGTGTTTTAATGCACCATTTATTACGTATTTGACTGCTGGTACTGAACACGTGGAAGTGTATCTGTACTTAGGAGTCCGTTCACCTATACGTAAGTTATACTTTCATTATCCATACAATTTGTTCTGCCCACCGCCCTTAATTTTCACAGCTCAAACCGTGCGTTTAGATTCGTGTCGCAGCTCACCTTTAAACAATGCTCTGCAGTAACACCACACATGCCGTTTCGACTTGCTGTGTATCGTCAGTATCACGCTTCCATTAGGATCCGAACCCATGATCACCAGCGGCTCGGACTGCCAGCCAGCAGCTTATGCCACTGAATCATGAGCGACTATATCTATCCGTCCTAATTTACAAGATAACTGCGATATAGCACATCCTATCCTCCACTGTAATGCAACTTACGAATTTCGCAGAGAATAGGATTGGCCCATGACCGTAGCTATGAAGTAGTACTTAGGAAATACTAGGGCGGATATTGATGTGATCATGAGTAGGGATTTTGCATGTAATTAATTCAGACTTCATCGCAGCAGCTTACAAATAAGATGATCTTCCTCATGCTCTGAAAAGCACTAGGCGGTCGTTTCCACTTGTTGGTTTTTCCACTGTTTTTCCGGGCATGTGGAGGATTATCTGATTTGGAAGCTGCTGCGATGAACTCCCACTTAATTACATCAAAAATCCCCTACTCAACTCATGAGCACATTAGTTGATTATATTTGACCACTGGTACCATGAGTCCCTGTTCATGTCCGAATAAGCAAATCAGTTGGCTTTTGACTCCAAACCCTCTGGCTCCACGTTGATCCGTTTTGAGCTCGAACCATATTCACTGGTTTGGTCACTTCCTATATCTACTGGCTGCCTATCTCTCCCTGTACTGTGTTGGAACACTGCGTATTGGTGGAGGAAGTACTGGTAGGCACTCAATGGGTTGTGCAAGAACGGAACGGCTCACAAGCCCTGTCAGGCCGATGCATAGCTATCTCGAATATGAGCTTCTGAGTTGGCCACATTATTAGTTCGACACCTGGAATTGCCCAGCAATAATGCCAGCGTCGCTCATGCTTACAACACCTAATTTTCTTCTAAACACCTTGAATTTTCATTTCCACCTCCATCATCTTTTCACTTGTCACGAAGAGGCCAATTATGAAAACTAAAACCGTCCATCTTCAGTGTTCAGACCATTGTTAATCAACTGATCGGCTCTGGTGTTCATCAATCCTGATGCCTCACTGTGTCAACATCACTAGTGTATTGCCTAGATGTATTTGGAATGTATTAATGCTCATTATTCAGTAGCTGTGAGTGAAATCTATGGGAATGACCTTGATGAATTAGTTATTTATGGCTCTTTCCAACGAATGAACACTGTAATATTAGTAATACAATTAAACTTCACCAACTCACCTTGGCAACCAACTGACTGTTTGCAGCCACTCCGGTGGAACGCAAACCTTGGGACAAAACACAGTTTTTCAAACTCCATAAATCCTGCACTAATACACCGGGGATTGTCGGAATGAGTGGGCATTGTGAAAACACAGCGCGCACAGTTGAATCCAGCGCTTCGATTAGATTTATTTGGTATCTGAGCTGATGCCAAATGGCACTATCGGGCAGGTTTCCACAACACTGTCGAAGCAAACGCATATTCTGCGACTGAATAGCGTTCACTTGCGTTTCAAGCAAGGCTTGTAGCGTTCTTGTGATGGACTCGCTCTCACTTTTTGAACTGCAATATTCTCGATATTGGCTTTCCAGTTTTCTACGGATGCAAAAGAGACGGTCAGTGAATAAAATAGTTGTTACGTGTGCATCTGTGACTGACTGAAAATATCCCACGGGTTAGACCGATCACAGTCCAACATAGCAGGCTACTCCCTATGCATTTGCACCTTTCTGTTGTGCAATTAAACTGATCCCTCAATGCAAACAAATGTAAATGGTTATGCGATCTTCTAGCGTTTGTTACACCTGGGATCTCTACAAAAATTTTCGTGTCCTTAGAGACGGTCCATTTTTGGCCAGTTTTCATGAGGTTCCTGAGTCGATTCATTACCGACAGTTAATCGCCGATAGCGTAATTGTGGTGGTCGGGTGGCAACTAAGCTTCGTTACAGTGTACCAGCGTGTTGTTAAAGCATTTTCGCTATTCCCGTAATTCTTTTGCGTTGTTAAAAGGCGTCTTGCAATCGTTTTAACTCTTTCTCGTCGCTGAACCCACTAAATGCGCATCATAGTTACCATGGTTCTGATGGGTGATTATTTCCGACTTACTGTTGACACTTTCCACTGCACTTGGATCCACACAGTACGGTGACAGCTGTACTCAGCTCTTTTCCACCCTCTCAGCATGACATTTTCGCCTCGTCTCGGCTAACGGGATACAAGAGCTATCGAAACCTACGGTTTGCAGCAATAGGTTTGTCTCGCTACTTCTATCAATTTGAGTATCGCGGCGGCGTATTTTTTAATCGTTTCCCTTGCAACGCTTCAGTACTAGCAGACGGATACTTGAATAATGCACATCACTGTGGCCTGAACTATGCACCAGGTATTTTCGTGAAAATACAACTAAAATTGACACGTTCAAGTCGTTTGATTATTTGACCTCTCTTCCGTTGGATAAACTTCATTCGACACGACCTTCCGTTGGCAAACTTAATCCACCTCTTAGCTGTCCAAGTGCACGCACTTTTTTGGACACCCATCCGTTCAGTTTAGGTGAACAACTATGATCCGGGTACCGGAGTGCAGTGCATCCAGTTGCCGCGACTCGCATCACCAGGATAACAGTAAATAACTGATGAGAAAGGTGGAGTAGAACACAGAGAGCACAAAGATGATCAAAAAGGCTGGGTAAACAAACTACCACTTTTCCTCCGTCTCATCGGAAACGAGTTCACTCAAATTACCCGCTCCGCCTTACTTATGTTCAGCCATTTCTCCGCGCTAACAACATTTATCTCATGGGCGAGATCTTGGGTTTCAAGTACTAGTTTAAACTTGTCCTTTGCTCATAGGACACTACAGCTCGGGGGATGCTTCATCTCGGTTATTTTCAACCAGACATCTACCACGCGTCTGGAGAAATACCGTCCGATGAATTTGCTTTTAGCGAGCTTGTCCGCGATTCTCATTACCATCAAATCCCGCGCAGTTATCACTCACGGCCGTCTCTCTTTCAACCATGGATGGATGCCACTAGCCAGCGTAAGGTGGCGATGCCCGATGTCACCAAAGTATCTTTAACGCATTGCAGCTGGCCCTCTAATAGCACTCACGTGTAAAAGTTGCGCTTCATCTCTTATGTGTGGTCTTTTCCATCATCTGCCAACTATCAGATTTCAGGTGCTCACCGAGCTTGATAATTGGTTCGTAAACAAATTGCTAGGCCTCGCGAGCACTGAAGTCCGGAACAACCAGCCAGAGCTACCAGTGTTTTAAGTCATTTTAAACGACCAACTACCTTCTGGCGTTATAGGCCAACCTATTACCGACATTCCCTGGCGTTACTGACCTCAAATGAACTAGTAAGCGGCTTGGCTAATTTCAGAGCAGACTCTTGAATGCTGAATCGGCATCTTTCTTTACTTTCAAACCTTCATTGGAGTTTATAACTGTATCGTATATCAGTGCTCTCTAGGACGCTGACTTGGTACGTTCCTGTGCACAATTCTACATCGGCGGGGAAAACGGGCTAAGTAAATTGTGGTTATATGTTAGGAGAGCGCCTACGGGACATATTTAGTGGAGACAATCTTTGGTTACTGGCTTACGTTTTGCTACCGTTTTTTCTTTGCGTCTGTTTAAACGCATCATTGCTTTATTTGACAGGCCTACGCTGTTTGTGTTGGATGTTGTCTCTGAGGCATATTTCTGCTAATACCTGTCGTGTTCAAATAATTTGCTTTGCTTTTGCCCTCGTTTCGCTTATCCTACTCACACTTCTTTTTAGCACTTGTTGGCCAGTCATGCGACCTTGCATTTAAATCTCGAGAATGAAAGACCATCTGGTGAGCAACTGCTTACAATGATTCATCATCAGACCATTACAAACACATAGAGGCTAAAAACAAAAGTCGACCCAGTTACTTCAAAACAACTAGATCACATGAAGGTCTATGTCAGAGTTGAGAAAACGATTTAGGTCTTAGTGCGCTAGTTGTTTGCTACCGCCTCTGACCTAAGGCAGTCGACCCGGGCATCTTCCGTCTTCGCTGGCCAGGGAAGCTGGACAGCCTGGACCAGCTTCTTCTGTGAGCATAAGGACGGCTGGAACAATCGAATGCATATTGCTTCAGCTGTCGCAAGTGTACGAAGGCGATAACATTTCTTTCGGTGCGGCGGAACCTTGTGAACTGTACGGAAAGCGCGTTTCCAATCCATGGCCGGTGTCCACAATGTGGACCGGCATGCTGCTACTAAGGGTCCCGGCGGCCCCTTGCCGCAGCCAACGAGGGCAATGTTCTTTCACGCATTTCCATTTGATTGGTTGCAATTCGAACCTCTGTCGATTTAAGTGTACTGCGCATGTGTGCAGACAGCTTTCTCCATACATACGTTCCGGTGCTGCTCTGGTCTGCTGCTTTTTCTGGATACAACCAATTGGTGTCGCGTGTTACCGATGTCTTTGCATGCTACTGCCCCTTCACCGTTCTGGACTGACTCTGCGGTTACCCCAATGCAGAATGCTGGGAAGACTGGAAAATTTCTTTTTCAGATTATATTTCTGTGCTACCAGTTCTCAATCCATCCGTGAATCTAAAAACGGGGGATACTTTAAAGCTTTTGCGCTTGCACCTCGGTTCAGAGGATCGACGTATATTTGATGCTCTGAACCTGCGGGAGAAACCCACGTTGACAGAGGCCTTATCGGCCCTCGAGAAACATTGGGGTGTTCGAGTGAACACCTATACTTCTCGGTACAAATTTTCGCAGCTGAAACAAGCATCTGGTGAATTGGTGCATGCATTCACTTCCCGTCTTGTTTGTTCCGTTCGAAAGTGTGACTACAATAGTATTCCCAAAAAAATATGAAAGAAACCATGCTAATACAATAATTGATTTCTGGTCTCAGGGGTTCTCGGATCAGAGAGATCTCTTAATGGAGAACGCAGAAAAGCTCACATGGGACAGGGCCTGCGACGTGGCTCGCTCGAAGGTCGGGGTCATGGAACAAAATAACATTTTCCTCTCTAACACAGGAGCTACTGAAATTGACCGTTTGGATTCTACACGCTCTTTGACGCGATTCTCAGTTGGAAATAAGTGTAACCGTTGTCGAAATGCCGATGATGTTGCGAATGATGTCATGTCCTGCAAAGTTTGAAATCTGCCGGAATTGCGGTAAGTCCGGTCATTTTGCTCGGGTTTTGCGTTCCCGCGCCATTTCTTTACTTGTTTCTATAAATAAGTCCAGAACTTCTCCGGTCACCACTGAACAATCCATATATGGCGTTAATGAACGCGAACATCCACTTTTGTCTCCAACTCAAGATCCCAAACTGCCTTCGCCAGATATTCGTCGTGTGCTTTTTGAAGTTAGAAACAAAACCATTTGTCTAGACCTGGAACTAGATTCCGCGTCACCAATCACAATTGTGCCATGTTGTTTTTACAAACAGCATTTCGGTCAGCTTATTGTACATCCTTCCGCCTACACTTTCAGCAGCTATTCCAATGGTGATGTCCATATACTCGGTTTTGTTACGCTTTCAATGTTTCTTATGAACAGCAGGAAGCGTATAGCTGAAGTTTACCTCTTTAAAACTGATAGTAAGCCTCTATGGGACGTAACGCTATGGTCTTATTGTAGGTATCACCATGCGTCAGCGGAATGACTACTGCCAGCGTCAACCTTCATTCGTTACTTTCCAGATACCCAAATCTCTTTCTTCCGGATACTGGTAGAGTCCCAAAAGCAATGCAGCGCATTCGGTTAATCGCGGATTACAAATCATTCAGCATTTCTCAACCTAGGCCTGTACCTCTGGACAAGCGAGAGGCGTTGTCGCCAGCTTTGAAAATATGGTCACGGAAGACTTGATAGAACCCATAGAGTGTTCTGAATGGGTTCATGCACTAGTTGCTGTTCAACAGAAACACGTCGAGGAGAAAGTGATTGCGTACGCATCGCGTACCTTGTCTGATACTGAAAGCAATTATTCCACCGACGAGAAGAAGGCTCTCGCATGTGTCTGGGCATGTGAGAAATGGCACTTTTACTTATTCGGACGTCAATTCACTTTGCGCATCGATCATTCTGCTATTGTGACGCTATTGAGTCGCGGTAACAAAGGCTAGAAGCCGGTACGCTTTAGTCGCTGGTACTCACGTTTATTGAACTATGATTACTGTGCCAGCGCGTACGCGCGGGCCTTACCACGACCGCACTTCGTAGCTTGTGATTGGATGCCTGTCCGTTCGTGATCAATACCAGGGTTGTTTTGAATGTACTGAGCGTATGTACCGTTGGCGTGAATAGAAGTTTGCGTTGCGTACCAGTAGAGTTCTGCTTCCTCGTTCGGGGCTTTGGTCGTGCTTGTTCAAGACCCTGCGTGCAGGTGACTAGTGTACGTGTAGATACAACAGTGGCGTCGCGGGCTGTGGAACAATAATATGCCTCGACGGGGAGTCGAACCCCGGTCCACGAATTTCCGGTCTGCTGCTCTACCACCTGAGCTACCGAGGGCTGACGATTAGGTGCGCAAATTTTAACACATGTCGTGGACCGGGGTTCGACTCCCCGTCGAGGCATGTTATTGTGCGTGAATTTTAATCATGGCTTCTACTTTCTTCGAACTTTACACTACTCACAAACATCCACCATTAATTTACCATCGCCCACTGGACGTCTGAAGGACAGGAACTTCGGTCTATTGGGAAGTGACGGGTGAGTGACCCAATCTGCGACATCAGGACAGGTACTGTGAGCTTATTGGCAACACGTCGCGCACCAAGCAGAAGACATGTGTTAAAATTTGCGCACCTAATCGTCAGCCCTCGGTAGCTCAGGTGGTAGAGCAGCGGACCGGAAATTCGTGGACCGGGGTTCGACTCCCCGTCGAGGCATATTATTGTGCGTGAATTTTAATCGTGGCTTCTACTTTCTTCGGACATTACTGCATGTATCCTCACCGCCACGTTGCGGAGAGGGCCGTTAAGCACATGGTTAGGTTTGCGTTGTCCCGTCCTCCAAATCGAACGGAGTATCTCAAGTAATGCTAGTTTGAAAGCGTTTCATCAAGGCGTTTTTTGAAAAGCGTTAATGTATAGGCAAGGGTAACATGAGCCGGAAAGGCATTCCAGGCATCGGACACACGGAGGGAGAAAACGTTGCGTCGGCAATCAAGTCGAGTGGAGATAGCCTGAGCTAGGGTGTGGAACTCGGGGTCTAATGGTTCACGGCTGACATCTTGCCCACTATGTCGCTGAGATCTGCTTGCGACGCTTGGCACAGCGACTACGGATTCAGTCATGTTAGCGATCAGTATCTGCCGACGTCTAAAGTCATAGCTCACAACACTGGACCGTGGCTGAAAACCACGTGTAGCATAGGAAACACGGGCTACAAATGTGTCCCGAAAGGCCTAAATGGCCGTCTAGTGTTTTTCTGGGCATGGTGATCGTGTATTTACGTTCAGTGGAATGACTACAAGCCAACCGTTTCTCATGTATGAATATAGGCCGTTCTATGGGCTCCTTGTCAACCAACTCCTGCGGCTCCTCACTTCAATACTGGAGTTCGCGGATACTACTATTTCTCAAATCATCCCACATAGATCCTATGTGCTTATGTTTTGCGGAAGGCTATCAATGATTTTGCGATGTTGATGATTTTTCTTTATCACTCGCTGTCCAAGTTGACGCTTCTTATGAAATACGGATCCGTTTGTGGTTCGAGCATTATCTGCGGTGCATTCAAGTTGATGTCGACTATGAACACCATGTTGCTACTTAGTGATTTAAGACCCTCTGAGTTAAGGGATATGATGCACTATTCGATATTTCTGTGAAAAGTAGTAAAGGTTTTGGGCACTGCGAAGAAAGATGCGAAAAGTAGCCACAAATGTGGCGAATAGTTTGAGATGCATAACTCTGCTCTAATAGTTCAGTGTACGCCGAATGGGAGTGATAGACTATATTCACCAAAGATTTCGAGTGCCTACCTTTAGGGGCTTCAATGTGATCCAGACCAAAAAGATGTGTGTGACGCATACGGCTCTGTCATGAGGGAACCCTGGCAGAGTACGGAGGAAATTTGGCGGATCCTAAAAGGCAAATGAACACAACTTTGGAATATCATGCTGCAAAGACTAAAACAGTGTGCTAAAACTCGATTGCTGAGCAAGTTTAACCACTGGACGAAGCCTGTACGCATTCTATATCAATATTAGTGTGCACTGGATAGTAACGGCTGTCATTGAAAGAGGGTCATAAGGAGTACATTTGTGAAACAGCCTAACACCAACCAGCCTCGGAACACGACCTCGGCTGTGTCCAATGGGCCACATGCGGAGCAACTATTATGGGGACGATTGTAATGATCACATTCGAATTAATAGACAAACAATTTGTCTACATTCAGCAACCGTGAGTGGACCGAGGGTAATCCACCTTTTCTGGCTGTCGTTGCCTTGCCTTTGTGGTTCCTTGCTTAATGCTCCGCTTGGCCATTGTGCCAACCAGATAAGGGACTCACTATGGCTTCTGCTACATCGGATCAACAAAAAGAATTCACTATCAGTTTATGAAGTTTCTGTTCGTTATTGCTAACGATGAAACAATAAGCAAACATATATGTTCATTATTTGTATCCGTACGATTTACATAATGATACTTGTTAGCTGATTTATATTCAACCGGCTCCATAATGCAACCTATAGCGCCCCAAAATATAGCTATTTTGTGTGCAATTTCATTGATGACTAATTGGACATTATCCTTTTGTTTTACTCTTCCTTACATTACGGCCATGTTGACCTACATCTGGCGCAACACTTGACTGATCTGTAAATTGTCATGCTAACGTTTGCTCCTTCGCTGCTTCATCTGCGCACGGCCTTGGTAACTCATCGAATATAATCCGCTGTGTCCGACTTCAATTGTCTTCTATTATCCGCGCTTGATTACGCGCATCGTCTCGGACTAGTATGTACTAGTCCTATAAATTGGTGCCCCCGATTCGAACGGGCGAAGTTAATTTTTTTTCGTCGTCTGTATTTTTTACCGAGTTCGTTCCTTTTTCTGCATTATATATGTGTAGTTATTTGTTTCTTGCGTAATTTTAGTAGGTTCATCTTGCTTTTGTTCATCCTTAATCTTTTCGATCCACATTTCGAAAGTGGCAGCTGAGTCGTTTCATAGCGTTCCATAGCTGTTCCAAGCTTCAAGAAACACAGCCGAGGTTTGGTTTGCCATATTCGAGATCGAACTCGAAAATAAGGGCATTCTGACTGACCGTCCGAGGTACAAGCAGCTTGTCCCACATCTTATTTCGTTGGTTATGACGCTGGGTCAGGACATTCCACTCTGTCCAGCGCATGAGACAAAGTATAAAACAACTAAACAAGTGAGTTTAAAGGAGCTACAACCTAGCGCGTGAACTCGACTTGAACAGCTCAATGGTCTCCCACAAGGACATCGCAAGTCCTCTACGTTGCTCTGCGAAATTAGCCGCATTGCATGTCCCTTATTTTTGAGCGAAGAAAGGATAAAGGAGCTGTGGCTTGCATGTCTCCCAGAGCCATTTCCGGTAATGGTGGCCATGTTTCTAGATATGCCCCTGAAAGAACTAGCTACTAAGGCACACGCTGTATTCGAACCTCTTCCCCAGCAGACGACCAGTAGCTTCAGTGATTATTCTCATCGATGAAAACCGAGTCTGACATTTGCTCCAGATCCAGGCAGCTCTGATCCCAAAGACGAGTAAATTGCGCTACTTCGCAGCAGGATAGCAACAGTGAAGGCTTCGAAGCAGCGTGTGTCACGGTCATACGCTGACCACGTGTTGGCTACCGTACATTGCAGCTTATCTGTGCCTGCACCGAGTACGTCTCGTTCGAGGAAAAAGCGCAGCATTTTCTCTGCACGTTCTCAGTCCGACAACACCAGCTTCGTTGAAGAATTATGTTGCTTCACCGCCAATATGGTGTAAGAACTAGATGTTTTCCGGCTCCCTGCATTAGGCATGATACAGCCGCTTCAGGGAAAGCGAATAGTCCGCATACTAGCACGACCAACATATCCGTCAATAACCAAACAAATCGCCTGTTTTATGTTAAGGATCGACGTTCTTCCATCACGTTCCTCATCGACACGGGAGCGGAAGTCAGCGTCATCCATGCGAACGCGAACGATAAGCATTCAAAGCCCACGTACAACCTGCGTGCGGCCAACGGTTCTCCGATAGCTTCATTCGGTCAGCGCATGATGAACCTGAACCTCATTCATCGCCGAGGTTTTCAGCTGGTTTTCATGATTGTGTTCGTATCCCTTGAAATTATCGGTATCGACTTCATCCGACATTTTGGGTTGCTTGTTGTTGTTGGTCGCTACAGATTTTTAGACGACCGTACTAACTTAGCGGTCCAATGCGCTCTTACGGACGTCGCAGTATTCAGTCCCGTTTTTGAATCGGCGATGGACCATCAGGTTATGCGGACCTACTGTCTGTATACCCGCGACTGGTACGATCAGCTGCAGAGCTTCCACCGGTCACGACAGAGGTCGCTTATCACATTGTCACGCGCGGTCCGCCAACAACTGCCCGACCAAGACGACTCATTTCCGACGAGTTAAGTGCCGCAAGAGCTGAATTCGGTCATTCGCTTCAGCTCGGTATCATCAGATCATCCAATAGACCATGGGCGTCCCCGCTCCACATGGTTCCGAAGAAGACCGACCATGGGGAACTGGCGTCCTTGGGGCGATTATCGTTCCCTAAACAACGTGATTGCTTCTGATCGCTATCCTATTCTAGATTCCGCAGGTAAAAATGTTTTCAGTACGATCGACTTGGTGCGCGCTTACAACCAAATTCCGGTAGGCGAAGCGGGCATGGCCAAAACTGTCATGATGACCCATTTGGTTTGTTCGAGTTACTGCGCATGCCGTTTGGTCTAAAGAACGCCACACAAACTTTTCAACGTTTAATCGATCAAGTTTGCTGCGCCTTAGACTTAACCTACATGTATTTCGACGACATCCGGATAGCTAGCTCTTCACATGGTGAGAACTTGTACCACGTACGAACACACTTTGACAGTTTATCTCAACACGGAGTGACAATCAACGCATAAAAGTGTTCGTTTGGTGCCGATTCGGTCAGTTTTCTCGGTCACCATAACTCATTTACAGAATAAAATTAAGACTATCATTGACTACCCGGAGTCTCATTCTTTCAAGCAACTAAGACGCTTTGACAGGCTTGTCAACTTTACTCGCCGATTTATGCAGGAACGTGAGTCGCTTATGCAGTTCCTCACGGATCTTCTCTGAGGAAAGCTTAAGAAATTCGATTTTCCTGCTGCTGCACACACTGGCTTCAAAGCTTTAAAAGAAGCTATCACCAAGATAGCTTATTTAGTGCATCACAATCCGACAGCTCCACTGTCACTCAGTACGGACGCTTCTGACATGACAGTTGGTGCCGTTTTACAGCACCAAGTAGGTGACGCTTGGCAACCGCTGACGTTCTTCTCAAAACACTTGCAAGCTGCCGAATCTCGTTCCAGCACGTTCAGTAGAGAAATATTAGTCCTCTATTTAGGCATACGTCATTTCCGACATATCTTAGATGGCCGCACATTCACCGTCTTCACCAACCACAAGCCCCTGACTTATCTGCTCGGCTCGACTACCGACCGATACTCTCCTAGAGTCGCGCCACCTAGACTATATCGCTCAGTTTGCGAACAATATATAACCTGTCACAGGTGTGCACAACGCCGTTGCCGACGAGTTCTTGCGTTCAAGCGATCTGCGCTGACCACAGCACGGCTATCGACCTGGCAACCATGGCCGCAGCACAACTCAATGATCCTGAGATTGGTCTACTACGCAAGTCTGCCTCACTGGACATACGACGGTTTCCGCTGCCATCAGCAGACGGAACTATGCGATTTATCTCTGGACATGCGGCACCCAGTTGTCCCACGCAAATTTCGACAGACCGTGCTCAACACGTTGCACGCCTTGTCTCACCCAGGAGTTCATGCGTCAGTTAAACACGTAACCGCACGATTCGTCTGACAAAATGTCAATCGGGACATTCGTATCCAGACAATTGCTTGCCTTCCGCGTCAACGCGCAAAAGGGCAAAAGCCCACGAAAACCCCATTAGGAACGCTGCCGATGCCAGACGCCGGTTTTCACCACGTGCACGTCGACTTCGTAGATTCTCTACTGCCTTCGAAACGATTTGTATACCTAGTAACCTGTATCGATTGATCAATTAGGTGGTCAGAAGCATTCCGATTCCAAACTGTTCTTCGGAAAGAGTATCAAAGGTATTTTTAGAGCGCTGGGTAGCTCAGTACGACTGTCCCACCATCGTGACCACCGATCGAGGGTCACATTTCTCGTCCACGTTTGCTACGTTGCTTAATAATGAAGCATGCCGCGCACGTCCAGCCGATCGCATATCATCCGGCCGCTAAGGACATAGTAGCGCGCTTTTATCGCCAACCGAAGGCAGCGTTCTGAGCGCACGCAGACCCTTCATGATGCGAAACTCCTCCGCTCGTCCTCCAATGCCTCAGGAACACAGATAAAACCGACTGCAATGCAACACCAGCACAGCTGGTTTTCAGCTGCACGCTGCGCTTGCTCAGAAAGATGGTAGTACCAGCACTGACCACTTCCTCCTTCGACCACGGAAGTTACGCCGATTGGTTGGCTCACTAGATGCATGAGCTGCACCCACCCACTTCACGGTTGCAGAGGACACCGGGATACGTGTCAGGAAAATGGTCTACTTGTTCACACGTATTGCTTCGTGTACACGGTGTTTAACAGTCACTTCAGTCGTAGTACATCGGACCACTGAAAGTTATCAACCGAACAAGTAAGACATTTATGTTGGACCGTAGTGGCTGACGCACAATCGTCAACATCAACCATCAAACGCCAGCCTTAAGGAAGGAAAATACCACGCATCCTTCGCATAGCAGTGCTGCGTGCGAGGATACAACTACCCACACGGATTTGCAACAACCTAATGTCATTAAACCAGACCACGATCTACGGCTGCAAGCATCAGCCGGTCGAC